CCTGCGCCCGCGGGAAGGGCTGCCCTGCCCCAGGGGCAGAACTCGGGGTGGGGCCCGCTGCTGGGGCTCCCCGCCGCTGACCCCGGTCCCGGCACTGGGGCGCCCAGCCTGGGAGACCCGAGCCCCTCCCGCTGGGCTTTGGTGGACACTCGCGGGGGGACACGACTGGCTCGTCCTTGGCCCGTGGTGCCTAGTTCAACCTCCAGTCTGGGGGGTCCCCGAAACTTCCACCTGCGACCCCAGGCCTTCCTGCGGCGGCTGCAGCCGGCCAGGGCGGGCCGAGGGTGCTTCCTCGGTGAAAGTTCCACGTGAATAAAGTTTGACTTCGCCACCCCCGCGCGCCGCTGAATTGCGACACAGGCCCGAGCCCAGCTCTAGAGAAGTAAGAATCAAAGTCATCACCATCTACAGGCCAGAGGCGCTCGGCAGGGAAGGGGAGGGAGGGCGGGGCGGGCTGGCGCCCGGGAGCCGGGAGCCGCCGAAACGAGACTGCAGGAGTGAGGGGCAGCGGGACACGGCTGCTTCAGGCGAGCCGCGTTGCTTCAGTCAGCGTCTCCCGGTCCGTGGGCGCCGGCGGGGCGATGCCTGCGCTGCGCGGCCTCTCTCTACCTGGCTAGACACCGCGGCCGCCCCGCCTCGTCTGCGTGGTGAGGTGGTGACGCGCCCGGGCAGCTTCAGGCCTCCAGCGGAGAGGCCGCTCTGGTCGCACGGGCCAGACACTTGCGGCCGCAGGCGGTCTTTGCGGGCCGTTTTGGAGCCGGGCCTCGGGCCTCGGGCCTCGTCCAGGCGGGGATGCGGACAGGAAGCAGAGGTCTGTGTTTTGTGACGACTCCTTCGTGTGCCAGAAAGCGAGGCCAGGGCAACGGGCTGTAAGCCGGAACCCACGCGGCCCCCAGGCGGGGCCTCTCGGTTTCGGATTTGCCGGAAGGAAAGCGTCGTGGAGCTGTGCAGAAGCTGTGCGCCGAGATGCTGCTGATTACCACAGCAGCGATGCGCCTGCGAGCCGTGATGCCGTCCGTGAGGTCTGACCGCACCGTGGCCCTGAGTGGCCCCGCGGGCGGGGCGGTGAGAGCGGAGAAGGCCCGCGGCACCGTGAGGCGAGCGGCGCTGTGGTTTGCCACTTGGGTTTCTGTTTCTTTCTTTTTCTTTTTAAGATTTATTTATTTACGCATGAAGAACTGGGGGACAGGTCAGAGGTGCCGGGGCGGTGAGAGGCTTCACCAGAGACAGAGCGGGGAGCAGAACGGGCAGATGGACGAAGCACACGGCCGAGGGGGCAGCGGCGGTCAGGAGAGGTCTGCGGCGCCCTGGGGTCCCCTCCGGGGCAGGCGGGGCTGGAGCTCGTGCGGACGCGGCTTCAGCCTCTCAGTGCTGCGCTGTGACCCGCTGCGCCCCAGGGAGGGCCCTTGTTTTGTTTCTAAAAGCACATGTATCCCCTGAAACGGTGGGGAGATTTATGATGAGATGTCCACAGGAGTTCTTGGCTGGTGAGCTTCATGGCGACACCCCCTTTTGCTTAGGCAGAGTTCCTGACTTTCAGACAGTGACATTCACTTTGCAGAAGAAAATCGGAGAAATTATCTGTAGGCGCCGGCGGCCCAGGGGTGAGTGTCAGGCTTCTGCCCGGACGGGCCAAGTCCACCCCGGCCAGGGAGGGCCCCAGGGCTCAGCAGCCCTCTCCTGCCCGCCCGCTGGCCCCTCAGCGGTGATTCAGTGGATTCGCCTGTTCTGCGCCCCACGCTGTCTGTGGGGAACACCGTCACCTGCCCCTCACCTCTGTCCTGCACCCCAGTTATTCTGTGCAAAATAAATAAAGCAAACAAAACATCTTACAATACAGGAATAATTCTTAAAGCATTTTTCTCAAGAAGCGCTCCTGAAGCGGCTCCTGAAGCGGCTCCTGAAGCCGGTGAAAGGCCTGGAGGTGGGCACCGGCTCGTGGAACTGCGATGCAGACATGAACCCCAAAGACGGAGGGGCCGGGAGCCCCTGGGACGACAGAGGGCGGGGCCCTGCCGGGGGCGGCTGCAGGCCGCTGTGGTCTCGGGCTCCCGGCGGCCTGCTGGAAGTGGGCAGCAGGACTCCGCTCGAAGAGCCCCCCGAAAGGTGCCCAGAGCCCTGGACAGGGTCTCAGAGGAGAGAGGGCTGTGGAGGGCGGCCCTGCGCTGCGCGAGGGTGAGAGGGGTTAGGCCTAGGTAGGGGCAGGGACGGGCACTGGAAAATCTGACAAGGAGCTGGAGCTCGAGTGTCCGCCCCGCGGTCGTGAGAGCCGGTGGGGACAGC